AAGATCAGAGCTCTACTAGTTTACATACATTGAATAATTTTACACATCCTAAATTAATTAAAAAGTTCATTACTCTTATTTAATTCCAATCTTAAATTAAGTGAACTTGTGATGACTTAAACAAACCTGATATGTTTAAGTTCTTAATTTTATATAAAACCATCTACAAATATATCTTGTAGCTGAAACTCACATACGTTTTAATTGAATTTTGGTAATAAGTATTTTATATTTGTACATATGCTTACATTTCTACAAACATTGGTCATATCAAGGTTCATAATGAACTTTTAGGTCTCTAAACTAAGAAATGAAAAAATAAGACCATAAAGCTTTATGTTTAGTAAGAAATACTACAACTGATATGTCTTAAAGAAATGCAGCCAGGACAAAAGATGTTATAGATACAATAGTTTATAGTGGACATGAAGTTGTGGTTAACAATCGGGACTGTTAGAAAAATCATTTAGTTTATAATGGCACTGTTTTTGGGATATTGAAATTTTAGCGAACAACTACATAGACTGCATAGCACAACTATTAAGAAAGCATAGCGCAAATCTTGGCATTAAGATTAATAAATATTAAAAAGAAAAAAATAAATATTTATATTATTTGGTTTGGTCCTTGCATTCAGACGATTTCCTTTATATGACCACTGTTCAGAACAAGCAAAATTCTTATTCTAATGGAAAAAAATGGTGTTAATAGTCAAAAGAAAGGTATTCGGACACATAACAATTATGAAATTGACGTCTCTGACAGAGCCAGCATTTATGAAATTCAGTGGTGAATTGCGCATAATTTTATATATAATCAGTTCTACTGAGATGTTATATTTTTTTTTTCTAGTTAGTTTTTCTAGTTCTAGTTTTTTCTAGCTAGTTTTCTAATCCCTTGTTCACGCTAGGGCTTAAATTAATTCCATTGTCGAGAACTTGCTTTCTCTCGCTCGATGATTTTTCCACTAACACAAATCTTTCTGATTGCATCTTACCTATAGGGTACAAGTCGATTTTTGTGCTCTCAGTTATAGAGTTCATACACAATAACCTCCCTCTCACTACTGTAAGACGTCATGCAAGCCATCATACCTCGTTCCTCCATATCCTTGTGAATTATAGTCAATATATGCAACTTTCCTTCCCTGTTTCGTAATTCGGTAGTTATATCCGCCAGAGACAAAATGGTTCTCCATCTCTAGGAATCGTCGTCCCTGTTTAAACAGTTACCTATGAACTTGGATAGACAGAACATATGTAAAAAAACCATACTACGAGAAATATTTAAATCATACCTCGTTCCTCCATATCCTTGTGAATTATAGTCAATATATGCAACTTCCCTACCCTGTTTCGTAATTCGGTAGTTATATTCGTTAGAGACAAAGTGGTTCTCCATCTCTAGGAATCGTCGTCCCTGTTAAAACAGTTACCTATGAACTTAGATAGCCAGAACATATGTAAAAAAACCATACTACGAGAAATATTTAAATTTTGCTTTCGCTTCAATAAATAAGTAATTCGATATGTGAAATATATTTAATTGTCTTTAGAAATGATTAACGTTTATAATTTTTTATCACAAACTACATTCACACCGTGGGCTATTGTATGGAATCGTTTCCGTTGCTTTGTTCGATTGTTTGCTTATTATTTCATTATTTCTTTACGCTCCATTCGAAGCCAACAAAAAGTGAGAAATGCAGAAACACAACACAAGAGTCCGGCAAAGAATTCTTTTCTATTTTTCAGTTTTCCGGTACAGAAGCATTTCAAATGGATTTGATTTCATGCAGTTAAGGTTCCTCAGGGCCAAGAAACATCAACACTGAAGCTTGTAACTGAACGCAATGCTGCATGCATTCCAGGTTGAAAATGATTAATTATGGATCAATTAGAATTTTTTGCTTCGTTACTTAGGAATGAAAGCGTAGTTGGCTTTTGTGCCGGAGACAAGGCAAATCTGACTAAAAGTGCACAACAAAGAGTTTTCCATTTGGAGTCATAAAAGATTTAAGTCAGAGAGGAAATAGCATCCGGAAGAAGCAGTTACTAAGGCATTAATGCCGGAATTAACTATGACAATGTGTTACTCTAAGTCACTAAGCAGCATTCGCTGAAAGTATTAGCATTGTCAGTTGATTTTTGTCGTGTTTGCTGTGTGTAAGTAAGCGCATCTTAAGCGCATCCTAAGCGCATTTGTATAAACATTGTTAGTCAAACATCAATTAATTCCTTTGGAGTGTTTTTGTTTGGACGCAGTCTCGAATTTATTGGATGCTAGGTTAGTGTAAGCAACGAGTACAGGAATTAACATGAAAAAAGAAGCCGCTGCTGTCGCTGCTGCCGATGCCTTAGTGGCCTCTAACTCTTCAACTCTTTACCGCTTGCCGACATTGTTTTACTTGTCTTGTTGCCGTTAAAACAAATTTTGTTTGTTTATCAATGGCCGAGGTGCATATTTTGGTGCGTTGAGAAGTTTTCGGTGCGTCGGTGCACTCCTAACAAGTTTCTTGTTAATATAAATGAAGTTGCTAACAAGTGTCGAGACGAGTCGTAAAACTGAACATGGCAAACATGCCAATTCATCCACATAGCATACGTATCTATGTATCCGAAACTCTCGTGTACGCCAGTAATTTAAGGTCTCAACTGTTTTTCTCATGTTTGGACATTGTGGGCCAAGTCAAGCGTTTGTGTGGAAACGTTTTCTGAAAAGCTATAAATCTCCTAAATATTGTGGAATACTGTAAAAACCACTGATGGCTTTCGAAGTTGCATTTGGTGAATATTGCTTTGGGCTTTCGGCTTTTAAGTACCTGCGAAATGGAAGTTTATTTTGTTATTTGTACATTCATATTTGTTTAACTGATCTATAAGTTAGGTTATAGCAAAATCTGTGATAAATATTTAAATCTAAAGCGAATGTCGTTTCATGAATTTCAAAAGAATATAACTTTCTTAATAATATTACATTTCGATGCTTATGAATTTCTTATGTGTGTAATTTCCTCAATATATATTCTATTAAAAACATTAATGTATAAAAAAAGATAGCTCTTAAATATTCGTATTTTCTTAAATATTCCTATTTTGTAGCAGTGTTACTGTAGTTTAATTTTTGGAACATCATTTCGATATTGCATAGATTTATTCTGGGAGCTCTAAGCTCCCAGCTATAAGCTGTATTATTAAAAAAATAATAGTAATATAAAAATGCATAAATTTAAGTTATTTACAAAAAGAATTGAATTGAAAAAGAGAATCTGAACAAATTGTCTAATGAAAACTCTTTTTTATTTATCATTTTAAGTTGTTTTCAATAAAATTTATGCATAATGTCACAAGTACTTAATATGTGAAAGGCTTGCTTATATTAAAACCGAATGATTTAAGACATTCCACAAACGCACAGAGTATCAAATAACCTCATAAATAAATCGAAGTTGACAGTATGTCATGATATCTTTCATTTTTATACAGAATGAATAATTTTAGTGAACTACAGAAAACTATTTTTATAGGTCTTTAAAAAACAAATACGGTTTATTTGTTCCCAGAAAAAACCATTTGGTTTACCTAATGGTACGCTTAATCCAATACATTCTGACTGAGTGAAATAATATAAACCACTTAACACTTTCTAACAGAGAACAACAATTACAACATTATTAAGATTTAAAAATGCTAACCTCTAGTGAAATGCATTAAATCAATATGGAGAAGAGTATTATTTATTTTCGAAACAAATAGGTCAGGGGCAGGAACCTTATTATAATAGTAGCAAGGGGTTTCCAGTGAAAGACAAGATTACAAATATTTAGAAGTTGACGGTTCCTCAACCGGTTGGATGTGACGTACGTTGCGACTACTAGTAAATTTGTTATATTTTTAAATAGATTTTTTCGAAATTCATGTCACTTCGAATGTGTAGGAAATATTCCCAATGAGGATCCAAATGAGAAAAATTAACACACGCATGTGTTAGGCTAGAGATACATTATCTTCAAGTGCGCATTAAATGTCCTTAAATGATGCTCGACATTAACGTTTGTGCAGATAAGTGGTGCTTAAGCAAATGCTTTAGCAAATGCTTATAAAAATAATCAACACTCAAGCACATTGGAAAAATGTTGTATCTATAGCCGCGGCGCGGCAATCCTGCGATGAAGCCGGTGTTTTAAGTGTTTGGTGCGGGGGTTCGGCACCGCAGAGTGTGTGCTTAGTACGTTGCATAAATACATATGCGGTGACTGCACGTCTCACTGCCACTTAATTATGCCGCATGTACGGTTAATGTGCGCTCTTGATAATTCAACTTGAATAAGCTGCGGACTTGAGCCGTTCACTATTAGTTTTCAGTGGGTTAATGTGAAGCGTGCGATTGCATTGTAGAGGGTTGACAACTGGTGGAAGTTTTAATTCTCCTTTTTAAATTCAAGCAACTAATTACACCTTTTCATAAAAAAAAGGTTTTTCAACAAGAAGTAATTGTTGGAAACTTGCTAGACCTTTAAATTCAGAATGTTCAGTAGCACTTGCAGGATTGTTCTGAAATCACATTGTATAAATCACTCAAATGATTTTGAGTTAAATTTCCTTACCAGCTGCTCAAACATTGCTAAATAGCTACTTATTGCATTCAGTGCCATCTAGTGGCAGAAAACTTTCATGTTTCTCTCTTTATATTTGCACGCCTTTAATGTTTTTAACTCAAATAAAAACATCTGCCAGCTTATTACCAACAACAAAGTGCTAGCAGTCCAAACTGTTTTCTGTTTTGAAAGACAAGTTTGTTTCATTTTCATTTTGAACTAAATGGTTGCTCTCGTACTCACTAATTGGTTTGTTCCAATGCCAAGCACAATAAAAACGTTCTCTCTCGCACTTCTCGCAAGTACAATAGCAAGGACTCCTCTCATTATTTACGCTTATGAGTTTCAATGGTGCAACGAGCGAACCGAGGTATTGTGAAAACATGAAGTTGCAACCAAATTCAGTGTAGTTCGCTGCTTTACCGTGTTCGGTTGGAAGTGGAGATTAATCAAAGTTAACAGAAAATATTGAAACACGTCTGGAAGCGTACGATTATAATTTAAATTGAATGTGAACATTTATAAATATTTCGTATATTAATTAAAACAACTCAGCCGTGATTAAAGCGAACACTTGGATTATCGCTCACGGTGCAAACCAAAAAGTTGTTATAAACAAATAAACTAAAATCTGAAGTGTGAACAGAAACTTAATTAATAACAAGAACTTTAATACTTTAAAAACTGTGTAAACAAAACATCACATCGAACTATAATTTATCAGGAATACAACTTAAGTGAAATTTAAACCTAAAGGTTTGTATTATCATTTAAATATTAAAATAAAAATAGTCCCTTCAAGTAGTAAAAAATCGTGGGAAAAATCAAATTTTTAAGTTTTGCCTACTTCACGGTAGGAGTAGCTCTTCAATATGTAATAGAGATCAGTTATGGAAGATATATTGTTTCCAATATAATACAAAAATTTAATATTCTGATAATTTGATTTTTTTTTAATATTAAAATATTTAAAATATAAGATGACATACTTATTTAGATCCACCATTAAAAATTATACAAAAAAAAAATTAATTAATTGAAAATTAATTTAAATTTTTTAAATAATTATTTATTGTAATCATTTTGCCAATCTTTTGAAATTTATTCCCAAAATTTTATTTCCTTGCAATAAATTGTTTCTTAAAAATATATTAAATTATATTTAATTTTTATTTTCTTTTTCAGATTATGGAAATTTAACACAACTGCGTGTGCTTTACTTCCGTTTCCCGTCCCTTAGCAGATAAAATTCAACCTATTACAACAGAACCGAAATACCTCAAGATCACACCAAAATGCATCAACTTTTCGTCATTTGCTTCGCAATTTTGCTCATAAGCGGGGCAAGTAGTTTGGCTAACTGCCCATCTGGTTGCCAGTGTGATGATAATACTCTAGTGGTACAGTGTGGAGAAGGTCAACTAGATGTGCTGCCAATCGCTCTGAATCCTTCAATTCAACGATTGGTCATCAAAAGCAACAAAATTAAGACAATTGACTCATCCATACAATTTTATGCAGAGCTCACATTCCTCGATTTGTCCTCAAATCATTTGATGACCATTCCACAACGTACATTTGCATATCAGAAAAAACTGCAGGAACTGCATTTGAATCACAACAAAATTGGGCAAATAAGCAACAAAACGTTTATTGGACTCTCCGCAGTCACCGTTCTAAATTTGCGGGGCAATCTTATTTCTGAGTTACATCAAGGCACATTTTCGCCACTGGCAAAAATTGAGGAAATAAATTTAGGCGAAAACCGTATCGGCTATATTGATCCCAAATCATTCGATGGCTTGACTCAGCTACGTATATTATACATGGATGATAATGCGCTCACATCAGTACCGGATCCAGTAATTTTTCAAGCAATGCCGAACTTAGCTGAATTGTATCTTGGTATGAATACTTTGTTATCAATACCATCTGCAGCGTTTGCAGACATTAAAAGTCTGACACGTTTACATTTGAAAGGTGCAGGTTTGCAAAATATAACACACGACTCATTCAAGGGCTTGGAAGCTGTACGCGTCCTAGATCTATCTGATAATCGTTTGTCACGCATACCGACTTTGAGCCTCAGTCATTTAGTACGTTTGGAAGAATTATCGTTAGGTCAAAATGATTTCGAAATTATTACTGAAGGTGCATTTGTTGGTTTGAAACAGTTAAAACGCTTGGATATCAGTGGTGCAATACGTTTGAAGCGTGTTATGAATGGCGCCTTTGGCACTAACACCAACCTCGAATACTTAAATTTGTCTTCTAATAAAATGCTAGTTGAAGTACAAGAAGGTGCATTAAGTGGATTACCCCATTTGCGACATGTTGTGTTAAAAGCTAATGGCTTAACTACTTTAGCTGAAGGTCTCTTTCCGTGGAAGGACTTGATAACACTTGACTTATCTGAAAACCCCTTTGCTTGCGACTGCCGAGTAATGTGGCTGCGTAACTTACTGCTAGCGAAGAATGGTACAAGTGATGTAGTATCTGAAGTGTTATGCGAGTTTCCTGAACGCCTCCGCGGTGATGCGTTAAAAAATCTCAACCCAATATTGATGGGCTGTTCACAAACTGATCCCCGTAAACAAGCACTTATAGGAGCTTTACTCGTTGGTTCTGCTGCAACGATTACCGCTCTAGCGCTCATTATTTATCGTTGCCGTAGGAAAATTCGTGAATACCTTAAGGGTGGTATTTGGGGTAATTCAGCCTTAGGACGTAAGGAACGCGAATATCAAAAGACATTTTGTGATGAGGATTATATGACACGTCATCAGCACCATCCTTGCAGTCTTGGTATACATTCTACATTTCCCAATGCTTACACATCTCATCAAGGCACGACCCACCATTACGGCATGTGCTCCATGAAGATAAATGACATAAATGCTGACAATCAAAAGAATTTCCAACAACTGCAGGTACCAACAGCAACTATTTTAAATGAGAAGAAGCATATGAAATCGACTGCTAGCATAGATGATAGCGCGTCATTTGTTATGCACATGAAGACTGGTTCTAATCTGACAGTACAAAAGCTTAATCATTACACCAAACCTCAATTCATGTCATCCACAGCTGCAGTTGGAGACTCTTGTTACTCCTACGCCGATGTACCATTAGTCCACTCAGTTGCGGGAAATGAGCAGCGCCAAACACAATTACGCTTAACCCAAGATCACTTCAATCAACAGTTGCGTTACGATAGCACACAGGATTACAACAAAGAAATTAACAACGATGTCTTGGACTCAAATTACATCTACGGTAATACACACTACTCTATGCCACTGGAGCAAGCAATGCGGTCGAAAACGCCAACACCACCACCACTACCACCGGCTCTGCCATTGCGTAATGGTCTACACAACACCACTGGCCGACATTCCTTCCAAGCCGTGCAGAACAAAAATAACAACAACAAAAACCATAACACAATGCGCAACTTTCATTGATCGATGCCACAAAATTGGCGTATCGGCGAAGACGTCTTCTTCGATTGCCACCTTGAACTGAGTTTATATGCTTAGTGGTTAACTGTGATGCCTGATTAAACATATTTAAGGACTTTTATTAAATAAGTTATGCACAATTAAATTAAGCCAAGATACAAACAAACCAATCTAAAGACAATTTAGCATAAGCCAAATCCATTGATATAGATCTAAGCTAGCGTTACTTCATAAACTATTAATTTTGTAAAAAAACTAAAAACTAAAAGATACAAGCACGGAACTCGCACACAACAGTATTGAGATGAACTTGCATTCATCGAACTTTGACCCAAACCCACAATTCATTTGTACTAATATTATCCAATAGTTGTAATTTATCAAGGTACAACAATGTATATAGCTATATCATCAATAGGAAATAGGATGAACGAATATTTAGAAAGGATCTCGATTTATGTATTTATTTCACGACTGCAAACAACTGAAGAACTGAAGTCATTCGCTTAATTAAATCGAATAATTTAATTTATTGTATTATTGTATTATTTATTAATTTAGAATTTATTTGTAAATGTTGTGTAGTTTTAATTAAACATGAATTAATTTTAGAATAAAAAAGAATTTACATTTAGTGTTAGTTAGACGAATATTTAAATTTCAATGTAAAAAAATCACATCCTTAAATGGAAACAGACAAAATCAAACAAAATAAAAAACAAATACTCTTAAAATAAATGAATTTGAGTTTTAATTACTTTTACTTATTTTATTGTAATTATTAATTACTTTCCATTGTAAATAAATCCATAAAATTTCCATTGTAAATATTTCTTCCGCCGTATTCAGGAAAGGCTATGGCGGTATGGAAAAATGACCAGGTGAAGTTAGCTAATGTTTGGTCGAAAGACTTTCATCGCAAGCATTCATGAAAGGTACGGGGTGGTTTCTATATAATTTACAATTAAAAATTGTACCTTTGTACACGGATCTATCCAAATAAGACATATAACAAGAGCAACCAGCAGAGTTTGAAAATGTGAACAACTGCTTCGGTTAAGGTTTTGTAGGCTCAATCATTTTAGAGAAATATTATGTATACATAAGTATTGCTCTAACATGTCTTTGTGAATCGCATTTTAGTTCGATTCAAACCCAGGTTGATCAATTTTTCACATTAGAAGTTCCGTTGAAAGGCATACTCGTTTGATTTGAGTTTCGCTTCCATTTCTGTAAAGTCAGAGGTTCTGCTTCAAATATGGTTCGATTCAGAAACAGTGCTTCGCCTGGCTTTCAAAACCATCTCTTAAAACGGAAAAGTTTTTACTGTCCAATCAGCTGCTTGTAAGCTGATTAAGTGTCTAAAAAGGAAAAGAACAAACATCGTTATGAGATTGAGTTTTAAAATTTAGAAAATATTACAACATTGCAAATAAAAATTTAATTACTCAAAAATGAAGTTTACGGGGTTAATTACAGGGGTAGTCTTAGTTATTGTGTGCAAATGTAATGAGCATTATGCTCTTTCTGTCCAATGTAGTCGTACCTGTCAAGTTAATAGGGACCACTGTTAAAGAAAAGTTTATTTAATGGTATTGAATGAATATTAGTGAAATTTGAAGAACTGAAAACATATAGCTAATTTGGCAAATACAGCTTAAGTACTAATGCTTTAGAGAGGTCTTCACGCATTGGAGTAAAAAAAACAATCTCTCAACTTTTTCCAAGTTTCTATTGGAATGGTTTAAGCAAGACAAAGAGCACGTTCTGTAGATGAATCATAGATCCACTCCAGAGAAATCCAAGGGGAATTATCAAACAGCTGATGAAAAAGGTGAAAGAAAACTGTCCGAAGAAGAGAAATATTCTGGGTAGAAATCTGGGTATTGTTATTGTTTTTTGCGATCCAAAGAAACTGTTGCTGATTGAGTACTTTCAAGAGAGAGTTGTCTATATACTGTTTACTGTTTTTTGGAATCTCAAGTAACCATTGCTGATTGATTACTTTCAAAAGGGTTGAGCCATGCATTATAAGGTAGTGTATGGCTCATTATTAACTAGTTATTAAGTCATGAATGGCATTTTGAACTGATTGATTATCCTCATCATTTATCAGATTTGGCAACCAGTGACTATTATTTGTTACTGAAGGTAGATTAAGGTAAGCGCAGATATATTTACATTAAAAAAGTTGGAGCATCATACAAAAATATCTATGAGGTATAAAGGAGACTATGCTGAAATGAAAAAGTAAAGAATTGAAAGACGTTGATGACAAACGTTTTGATAGCTTCTTCCTTTGTCTAAAGCTTTTTCAAACTCAATTTTCACATACAATAATTTTTAAAGCATATAAAATACACACATGACAATTTTGAATATTGGAAGTTAGCATATTTCATGTTTACATTTTGGAATATCATTTCTATAAATAGTTGCCACTTCTCAATAAAAATTTATTCATCAATACTTTGAAGTAAAGTATTTCTTTATGTTGAGTGTAGGTGAATATTTTTTTTTTAAAACTCAACTGTTTGCTGTTGAATGTAGCTAATTTGTTTATCAGTTCAAACCAATAAATTTTTTGAAATCTATTCCCCAATGGCTCACAACTCACATATATAATTTGAAATATTTGTGCAGCCAATTATTGCACCGACATCTCTCCAGTCTAACAAACGAGGGGACAGACAATAGATGCAATTAATAATGTATAGAACTTATCTTTAATGATAACCCAACTACGTACATTGTCTTTGACATTTTATTTAGTTTTGAACATAAAAATAAATTTGAAAAAAGCAATAAAAACAAAATTGCCAAAATATTACCAAACAAAGATCATCGATTTATTCTTTCAAATATCTGAGGCAAGAATGCTCACAAAAGCAGAACGAATAGTTTTCCGTTTTAATCCATGATCTCTAACAACATTTCCATTAACACACAGCAGTGTCCTTGCAAAATAGAAAATAATATTGCAATGATGAGACAAAAATAGGATTGTGAAATTTTTCACACAATTCCGCACAGCGTGAGCCATATGATCCTTGCACAGCGGTCCCATATCTCATGTATCTCTCGTATCCTTTTCAAAGGTGTAACTATAAACCAAACTATGATTTTTTCAAATCAAGAGTAAAACCGAAACTCAATATACTTTCCACGCCTATTGCCTTGAATAATAAATCTGTGAAATAATCACAAAAAACGCTTCACTTTCTACCTGCTTTTAATGTATCTCATTTGTGAGTACTTAAAGCCTGAATATGAAGTGTATTCAAAGGACATTTACTATTTACGAAATAGAAAAAAAATACTGTAATTATAGTTATTATATATTTGTATTTAATTTAGTGATTATAAATAAACACGAATATATAAAAATAAAAAAATATAAACATACAGGAAAGTTATAAAAATATGGTTTACAGACTTTGCTTAACTGGACCTTCAAGCAATCCCTATAGATGCTGTAACGTTTTTAGTTCTTTAATAATCTTACGAACTTAGAGACAAATAAAAAGTTTCTTATAGGACATGTCTCAAGACCATTAGACATATATAAATATGCGATGTAATTTAACTTGCTATGCATATCAAATTAAGAAAGACAGCTTTTACAAATTCCAGATATTTTTATAACAGAAGAATGTACACCTGAACTAGCCTATAACATATACTGGTTACACGCGTTTCTTTGATCAAATGTTGGAAAAAGTATTTATAAAGATATTGTTTTGCGATGCGATGATGATATCATTAACACTGCAATACTTTGTAATTCCTTGCTATTTGTAACTATCATTTGATTAATACTAAAGAGATAATAGATATCATTAACGTTTAGTTCGTTTCATCTAACTGAAAACCAGACTACTGTAATTTTTTAAATTATTTTTTTTAAATTAAAATAAAAGTAAATCAAATATTTCTAAAATAATAAATGTGATTTTATTAAGTATAAGTTTTGTTGTTTATATATATGCTTTTTACTTGGGCCATTTCTGCACAGGGCTATTTTTCAGAATTTCAGGAAAAGATGTTTAGATCATCAGATCTTCGATTGATGGAATTTTGAGGTCCTTGTATATGACAGTGCTTCTAATGTACCAAAGAACTTTAACCACATCTCTAAGTACTTTATTTTGAAATCTTCGTATAATATTATTGTTAGTCTGACTATGTTATCCTCAGATTGTGGCACTGTAGCAATATACAGATTTGACAAGTAGACGAACAGCTTGTGGTATTGGCGTAGAGAAGCCTACTGGTCCAATAGACAATAATTATTTCGGTATTTCAAATTGTTTTTTTTTTTAATTTTTATATGTTTCTTCTAAAGTAATTTTGTGCTTAGCGTCATAATACAGAGATATTTTACGACATTTGAGTATAGTAAATCTAAAAAAGTTGATAGATTTTATTGTTTACAAAATGCTCAGTATGGAAGTATTTCTTAGAGAAGAAGATTTAACAAACAACAGCATTTATTCGATTTATTCTCAATGGAATCTAATTTTTGAGTATCTTGATCTCTTTAGATCCTATAAGATTTGAACCCATTGTTAAGCAATCGTTGCATGGTTATTTTCGATACGTTCATTTGTCTTCCATTACAATGCGGTTTCAATTTAATTGCGGTTAAATTTTTGAATCCGTTTTGCCACAGAAATTATTTTTTCCAATTATCTTTTTCCAAATATAGTATTTAGCAACACTGTCCATTTCGGTATATTTATTCTGATTAAGGTGCTCAAGGAAGATTTCAATAGTTATAAGTAGAGTTTCGTTTAAATATGGCGATATCGTACTACTACGCTTTAGTCCTATCAAAAACAAGTTTTGTTAGTTAATCAATCAGCTGTTGCTTTCTTACATTTTTGGCCCTAACAACCCGTTACAGGGTTTCGAACTGACGCAGCATGTGTCTCCAGGCGTGCGCGCCTTCTCTAGTTTCGTAAGTCGGGTTGGTGCTCCTTGATCTTGATTATTTCACTGGTGACACGCTGTACTTCTACGCCTTCTTCCTCTAACCGTCGCTTTAAATACCTTTTTCGCTGGAGCACCTTCATCTATTCTCACAATATATTCTCATTAACATTCGCTGAATGCTAATTCGCAATATCATGATAAAGCTCGTATAGCTTTTAGTGCATACTGATCGTGTAGTCGTTGCCAACTCATAGAGGATCAAAGATCTTATGAAGAACTTTTCTCTCGCACACTTTCAGTGCTGCTTCATTATTCTGCGATACTATTCATGATTCTGCTTCAATCAGCTGCTATTTGACGAAATATGAATATAGTGCTGATAATACTTTGAAAGTGAAGTACTTTTAGGTGGTTACATGTTAAGTTGTATTTTTAGTAGGCAAAGCCCGATACATCGATTCAGTCACTTTATTTTGTTTATCTGTAGGTAAGTAAGACTGTTTTTCATTTTTAAGAGTAGATGTTATAAATTTGATTTGTCATATACTTAACTGTATAAATATGTTCTTTATACAAAGAATAAAAAATTTTA